CTCCGATACCACGCCAATATCCTGACACTGCTAACGTTTTATATAGACCAACAGCTCAACGACTATAAAGGCTTCTCTATCTCTTCTGATCCGTTTTTGAGCAAAACCACATACCGTTCGCATTTGGCACATTGATGATTCGACAAATATAGACTATTCTGTGGTATTGATGAAACGAGGGCGTATCAACGTGGCCAACGTAAAGGAAGAATTTTAACTTTTTGTGAAATTCTTGCTAATCATGACAGAGGATTATTAATACCAAAAAAATGACTTTAAACTTCATTTACCCACACTAAGACATTGTCGCTCACTGAAATTCTGACCATGGGAAATGCAGATGATGTGCTTAATATTGGTGAGTCATTCTGGTGGTTTGTGTTATCCATCTGACCCAGCCAGTAATTCAAATAATTTTTCCGTAATTGCAGCCATTGTCTTTTGAACAAATCGTCTGGTTGAATTTCAATGTTAAAACTGTTTGACTGAAACTTGGCAGCTAAATAGAAATTTTAACATCAATTTCATCTGTATGTGAGTCCACTAATCCATCAAATTTCTAATGGAAATATTGAAATACTTCTGGTCCCTACGTAACTGCTTATAAAACAGAAAGCTGTCATGGATCATAAACGAATGACATATTAAGCTAGGTTATTACAGGCTCTGTTGCAGACTCATAAATTTGCACCCCTCTATATTTTGACTATAGTAAGCTGCAAGTGTACCATCTATCAGGAATCAGTATCAGCATTTAACTGGTGCTGTGATCGCATTTAATGCATGAAGCAATGAAAAGGAACTGCTTTATTTGTCCCTGAAACATTTTCTATTTCTGGAAATCCAATGTTTTCGCTCTTTGTCACTTTATTGATGAATTGCAGCAAAAAAGCATGCGTCTGCCAATGCGTTACCGTAGTTTGTCTCTGCATAGTCGTGTAATCTCTCTTTAGCACTCCCATAGCACACTTTTAAACTTTAAAAAAATGTAATTCACTGTATACGCCATATTTTTATGTCTAGTCCGCTGGCAGATGAATCTGGTGAACTGGGCGGCAGGTTGCATTCGCTAGGGGGTATCACGCGTTCTGACATGAATATAGAAAAACAATGTTGTAACGATTATTTTTAGATCAACTAATCGCTAGCGAATCAATTACCTGCCGTTTCTCAGCTGGTTCAGCCAAAGTGCACAATCAAAATTCCTTTCTCAAGGAATTC